TTCTAGTAATGGTCCTTTATAATCTTTCAGTACTTTACATTAGGTTTTTCGTACAGGACTATACTGCAAATTGTTTTTCACACTGCTTAATGACATCACTGATCATACAAGGATACTGTTCAGCCGGATTATGCGTGAAGCGTTGGTATATGTAATATGCAATCACTGCAATGATTCCCCACATCACAATGGAACTTAACCAGCTCTTGCCAGAATTTCTGCAAAAATATACATTTAATAATTACATGTAAATATTGTATTAATTATAAATAACAGGTAGGCACTTGACTTACAGTGTACACCCACTGGTGTCTATAATAATATTGCAAAGGATTTATACCGGTAATAAATCTAGACAGAAACCTAATAATACAGTCATACCAGGAAAGTTCATTTAACTACATGTAATACTTGAATTTCTATAATTTTAACAGTTATGTTGATTCCACCACTATCAACTTTAATTCAACGAGTCGATCTGTCAATGATTTTAATTACTGAAATTCAGGAAAAACTACCAATTACAATCTGTCGTCCCTGATCCATGACTGCATTAAACCAACTCACTCAGGTCACATGGGTCCAAAGTTCATTATTCAGTCTCCTGAGTGACATCGTGCGATAGTTAGATACAACCTCATAAACAAACCCCAAGTTAGATGACTATCATTGGTGATAATTGCTTGAGTGCAATTGCATTAACAAATGTAAATTTTTTTGTGTTTTTCTTTTTGTTTGTTTGTTTTTTCTTACAATTAAACATTGGTAATTAATCACCCTTGCCAATACATGAAAGTGCATGCAGTGTACATGTATACAATATGCACGTATGTGATCTAAAATATTGAATTATTTCATGTTTTTTCTAACACTCACACCTACATTTAAAGTGTAAAACTGACCTGGTGTAGTAATTATTATGGTAGTGTCCACTGTCTGTGTACCCAGAATGATAGTCATTGTAATGGTGGCCTCCGTGATTGACAGCATCAATTGTGTATTCCAGCTGTAACAAATATTATAATGATCAAGTTTTATTCTTCAAAATGATTTTTCAAACTCATTTATAATTCGTCAAGTTAAAACAAGGGAAATCAGAACCATCATTGTGGTGTTTGGATATCTGATCTTAATTAGCATTCTTTGTTTTTTTTTTTAGTTTTAGATTTTAGTTTGTTTTTTCCATTTTCTACTTAGTTTTAGTTCTGACTGAGAAAATACACCAAACACTCAAGAATACAGAAAGTTTGTAAAAATAGAAAAACAATCTCTGGTTGAAAATTTGTTCAAAACAAGCTTTCGACTACCAGTCTGTAGTCTTTAACGAGTAATGACTACCATTACTTGTTAAAGACTACAGACTGGTAGTCAAAGCTCGTTTTAAACAAATTTTCAACCAGAGATAGTTTTTCTATTTTCCCAAATGTCTTATCCTGGTTACTCATCTATTTTTAAAAAATACAGAAAGTGTTTCATCCTCTTATCTCCAACCACCTTGTTAGAAAAGTGTGAGTTAAGGCAATAGATTGAAGTTTCTGCCATTTAATCTTTTTCATAGGTCACTTAACTACAAATCACGTACTGCATATTCTAATACATAACATTCAACATTGATGATGTTGTTAACTAGTCTAATTTGTACTGCATTTAATTTACTGTTAGTACATACCCCACAAGAACCTTTCAAGACGTATGGGTCATCAGGATAATCATAGCCCTCACAGCTGACAGAAATTTCACCAAACTTGTAGCGACTATCCATGTCTGTTTTACATTCCCACTGAAAATGCAAACAAAACAAATGAAAACTTAGAAAATATATGAACAATCTATTAAATGTATACATGTTACCGTCTAATATAAAAGAAAACGTCAAAATTTCAACCATTATGTAATTTGAGCATTAACAAAGAAGCATTCAAATTTTATGTCTTTGCAGGACCAACATAGACATATAATGAAGCAAATTATATGTGTATTGTAAAATGAACACTAAACAGGGTTAAAAATCCTAACTAGGGACAGGTAGGTCAGAGGATTTTCTATGTAGAGTTCTGACCAACCCAATCTCAGGACTACTGGGAATCTGGTTGGAACACTTTTTTACCTGTAGGGTACAAAAAGCATCTCACCTGCACCAGGCAACTCACTCACCAGGTGTCACAAGACAATATGTGCCATTGCTAAACAGAAGAGATTGCTCTCAAGTTACATGTAAGTACATGTATGGAAAGAAGCCAAAAGAACTTAGTGCATTGTCTTCTCTTTTTTCGTACTATGAAGAAAGAGACTTGTTTTGGCAAGGCAGTATGGTTTTGACTGCTGCTCGCCGGAGCCACATGCAGTTCTAGATCTATATTTACCTGCACATCATATCCATCTGAACCTCGGTTATAACACTGAACAACACTTGGAGTAAAGGCTGAACAACCTGCCGTTCCACCAACACACTTTAATTGTGGTACTGGATGGGTACGGCGGGAATTTGTCATTTTTCCATAATGCAATGTAACGACACTAACATCTGTCAGTCGTATCTTGTCATCTCTGCCCCAACCCAAAGCTGCAAATGTATGATCATACGCTTGTAAGTTGCAATCAGTATCATATTATTAAGTCATGTCTAGTTCTTCATCACTTCTTCAATGGAGAACTAATGGTGCCTTATGAGGTGAAAAAGAGAATTTAAAACTCAAGAGACTTCCCTGGACGCCTTTATCCTTGTTTGAAAATCCATGACTGAAGACAACTTCAAACTCCAAGACAGACAGAAACACACAAAAACAAGATGGTTGCCAACTGGAGACTTTATACCATTAACCACTACCCATACAGTACAGCTCTGCAGGTGCTGCAGTACATATGGATTATTGACCAAGTGTAAGGTCAAGATGGTTGGATATTGGCCGAGTGCCATTTTTGCATGTCAATAAGAGCTAAATACCAGCTGATCTACATGATCTGGGCCTCAAACTCTATTAGCAAATCTTTTGCTGATATTTTGAACTGGTTTACATGAAATACAGGCATCTTTGTCACAAAAAAAACATATGGGTGATTACAAAGACAGAAGCTTGAGATTCTAGCAAGCCTTTTTAGTATTTCCGCTTAAGACATTAAAAATACACCTCAGTACATAATATTGTATGTACACACATGTAGTCATGATATGAACGTTAATTCAACTTATAATTTGGACGCTTAAAGACCCTTAAATTAGACAGCAAAAAACGGAAGTTTCAGCCATACCTGCAGCAATAAACAAACTTCCAAACAAAACAACCGTCCACAAGGTTCCAGAACGAATAACCAATGCCATCTGTAATAATTCGAATTCGAAAACAAAACTTATCACCTGCAATCGATCTCCACACCTTTCTTTTCGAATCCAACTTGAATTGAGCTAAGTGAACACCACAATAAGCAATGACTGTGCTAAACACACGTTGATTATGATTAAAAACAATCGAAGAATACGTCTCAAAACAAGATTGGTTGGGTGGGATATGAAGTCACTTACTTCATTTGAATGTGTTTTAGTTGCATCATTTATGACCCAAATGACTAAGGCAATATAAAGGACTGGTACTAGCTCTGCCCAGTCTCTGCTCGTCCATTGTGCCAATTTCTCGTTCTTTCACATAACATTTCTGTTCCGATTTCTTTTTAAAATGACTTCAATGTTGACCAGTCGAAGATAACAGCCGTATATTATGTGAAAACTTTTTGGTAGAAATTTCATGAAGTTTATGTCAGGGTTTTGCATAGACTTGACTATCAGCCGCTGTTCGAATCAAAGTGGTCTATGAGTTCAAAGTGCTCTATGAATTCCGATCCAAGTGAATGCTGATTAACATTTAGCTATGTACTCCTATTTTCCAAAAAAATAATTAAAAAGGTTTCGTGGTTTATTTTTTATCCGATTCCTGTCTTAATCTCCTCCCCCAGGCGTAAGCATATTAGTTTCCCGATTTTTTTAAAATTATTATTTCCGGCAGAGATCTCTTCTTGTGGCAGACGAAGTTTACAAAGTAACCAACCATTTCTCGGCAAGATCTTTACCCTAAATTTATGGACCGAGTCGCAGTACTATATTTCTCCTATACAGACCTCAAGCTAGTTCACTAAGGCCTAGGGCAAACGTCGAATCCAAGTCGCGTCGAATAAATTAAAAATAGGTGCGACAAAGAGTCGACTTAATTCCAGCGTGTAACAAACGTCGAACCTGCGTCGATCCTATTTCACAAGTTGCATTTCATTAAAACACTGGAATAAGCGCGTGTTCCCATGCTATTTATTCCATGCGCGGCTAGTTACTGCAGGGACTTGCAAGCGAAATGCTGAAATACAGTGCTCGTGGGGCTTTACTTTGGCAGTTAATTGGGAAAAATAGAAAGAGAAGACTCGCATTACATACAGCTCTGAGAACAGTGTATCAGAGACGACAGCTATTGCTCCAAGTGGCTCTTTTGACCGTGCTTTTGTTAGCGAACAACAATGGAGCAGCGGTCTTGAGCGCGGGCGGTCTTGAGCAGCGGTCATAGCTCGCCATTTCCGGCCGCGAAGTCGGTCGCGAAATCGTCTTTGTACAGCGCATGCTCGTCAGGGGGAAATAGCATTTGGCAGATGGGGGAGTATGTATTTTTTAAACGTTTGCCCATTCCATCACATTTTGAATCAACTATTTTGCAATTTGCATGATTCGTGAATTGTGTTCACCGTGTGTTAAGAACGGCGTTTGCTAAAACGCCGCACCACTGTCGCATTGTCCGACTTGGTAAGTCGAACTTCTGCTAGAGTCGAACCAATTAATTTGAGTCGAACTTATTTGCGGCAAACGTCGCACCATTCATGCGCCTATTTCAAAATTAATAGGTTCGACGAATTAAGTTCGACTAAAATTCGACGTTTGCCCTAGGCCTAACATATGAGCAGTATCGCCTGCGACTCGGTCCAATATTTCCCCAATGCGGACCTCACGCTAGTTCAATAACGCAAGTGTAGTACTGATTTTAATTCCATGTTTTTTCGAAATTCATGTAATGTCTTATTCTCAACGCTTAAGCTTTCTTTAGAGTCGCTAACCGGTCGTTTAGCAGCCAAGTCGATTAGCCCCCAAACAGGAGTCGATTAGCCCCCAACCTAAAGTCGATTAATTTAATGCACTGCTGAAATTAGGAGGGGACCGCTGGCCTTCTCACTCCCTTAAAACGCTTCTTTCGAAGAAAAGTTAGAAAATCACTCGTATATATGGGACCCCTCGGAGCCCATTTCGAGTTACCTCTGGTAAAAATTGTAACTTTGAATTAAAATGAGGCGGCCTTTCTTCATTACACATACTGAAAATGACGAACACACACTGAAACTCCAGTGTGAATTGTGAAGTGTCGAACAATGCGTTTATTAACGTTTCTAGTTCATTTAAAGTATTGATAGTTTTATTGGGTCAAATATATTAACAATATTCGACGCTCAAAATTGCTGTTGCTACTTTTGTTCTATCCATAGCGAGCAAGGGTTCAACAGTGTAAATCTGGCAAGGTTTGCAACCGTTTTGTCATGGTCTCAAGCTGAATTCTTGCTTAGGTAGAATCAGAAACAGCTGAGCACAATAAATTTCAAATGACTAAATCCACAAGCGAGTGTATTCCTATTTCTTCATTTGTTTCCTCCGCGATTTTCCAGGTCTAACGTTTTTCCTCTTTTTACCCTAAACAAAAGAAATAAAAACGGTTAGACTGTAGGTAAAGCATAGAGCGTTCTTATAATTACTACGAAAACGTTCTAGCTTAATCTGGCGTGTAATGGAGTCTGCAAGTGGTTCAAAAACTCCCTCAAATTTACTCAAGGGGCGCTTTTCACTCAACGAAAAATTTCAAAAATTTCGAAACGGGAGGGAAGCATATAGGAAATATCCTGGGAACATTTCCAGAAAATACGAAAACTGTTGAATTTTGAAATGCAATCCACTCACTAGGAAAGACTAGAAATTCCGGGAGAAAATCGTGATATGTCTTATGGGTGAATGCCATGAGTGTACCAAGTCGTATATCACCTAATGTTGGACCAAATTTACTTTGATATGAACTCGTGTGGCTTATGATGTTCACCCCAAAATCAAAAGCAACGGAAATTTCCAGGAAGGAACTATTAAAACTTTGGGCATACCTCACAAAGTTGTCCCTTTTTTCGGAAATTTTCATTCGTCAATGGAAATTTCCGGAAATTCAGACCTGAATGGAAAGGGACTGCTAGCAAATCTGAGAGGATTAATGTGGTCTTCTCCGCCAATCAAAAACAAAACGAAAATCGATCAACATGTTTTAACTTATACCGCATTTCTCGGTCGTTTGCCACTGGCTACTCGTTTTTACCTCGAGCTCTGATTGGGTAACTATGATAATTCCTGCTTTAATTTGAAATTACCGACCCGATTACTCGATTACCCGATATATACTATACTCGTTCCAATTACTGTGTAAGTTGTCAAGTATAAATTGTGTAGAGTTTGAAAGGTCAACCAGCCTGACAAAAGACTATTTCTTAAACATAGCATGTTCAGCGTCACATATTAAAGAGAGTGATATTAAGTTTTGCCAAACACTCGCTAAAAATGAAACTACATTTTAGCCACGAAATTACTTCTATGGATCTAAATGACAAAACCATAGCTTCATTACAAGCTTATGTCTCCCGGGCGTTTTACTTAAAGATGACAAACAAATGACATCAACTTTGAAAACTGTTCAGCCTAACAGTTTTTCAAAGACACATATCGCGATCCGTTTCAAGTAATCTTCTTCAATTTTGTCCATCTGGACGAACCTTCTTTTGTAGTAAATGCAACAACTTTTTTTTGTGTTATTGAAATGTTCCTTCACTGTTTTAAGTGGCTATTTATATGTTTTACTCAATTTGGTGGAAATTTTCTTTTGCCTAAATTTGGCACAGTATCTTTAATAGCACCCGAGAAATGGAAAATCCTAATATTTTTTGGTTTGTAATAGGGCAAGGCTTTTGTGAACAAGCCGGTTCATCCTTTCATTCCACTACGAGACTCCAGCGTAGGCCAGAGGTATGGTCTCGGGTTCCGCATTCTCCGCGATACCTATCGAAAGCCCCGCCCCACCTTGTCTCATAAGGCATCGAGATAAACAAAAGCAAGCCAATGCAAAACAGGATAGTGTTACTTACAACATTCCCTGACTTTGCTCTTGGTGCTTTGCTGTGCTTTGCTGAACTGAAAGAGCTCACGTCTGAGAAGCTTTGCGAAGAATTCCGCTTTATTCCTTTCTTGACTCCTCCAAAACCAAACTTTGCATCCTGTGCAAGAGATAAGGATGCTGATACGTTCATGAACGTTAAGCCCTTACCCTAAGTTTCAGAGATGTTGTATTATTACTGTTCCTTTGTAAAAAATTTCGATGTGATCTCAATAATCGGGCAGGAATTTTTCATATATGAACACTATAAACCCAGTTACCGGAAGGACAAAAAAAA